CCTCCCGTGTGGCGCCGCGTCAACGTCCCTTGCCACATGGCACGCTCCGATTCGTCAAGGCTGCTGACTAAGTGTCCTATGTGGCACAACTTTCTTAAATTATATTTTGACCCCTAGTTTCTTTTTTTTTTTCAAAAATACTATAAAACCTAAATTTTCACCTTTTTTTTCCAAAATTATTTCTAATTTCATCATCCACATTTTTTTTTTCATTTTTACATTAAATTAAAATTTAAAAATTAAAAAAAAAATTATATTTATAAACTAATTTTAGATATATTAAAATTAATTGGGTGTTACAGCACAGTTTAATCAGAATGCTCAATAAGGATACAAGAATATCCATTAAAGAAAATTAAAATAACAGAAAGAAAAAATGTAACTAAAAACCTATAAAGTCAACCTCCGCAGCATAACCGCTAGAAAAACGGGAGGTAACATTTAATCGCTAACTTTCTTACTGTTTATGATCCGAATCTTGGTCATCCTGATATGAAATGGTTAAATAAGGAGAATGAACTATAATATCCCAGTAAGAATATCAACACTTTATAACATATATGGAAAATCAAAGGTTGTTAAAAATTACAAAACAACCAATGTAGCTATTTTCTTTTTAGGTAAATTCATTTAATTTAAAAAAAAAATGTTAGTTATATACTCACTTTTCAGGTTCTCAAATACGACAAGTGAAGGGAAGAATCAAAATAGTAATCCATTAGGCATTATAAGAAACAACAATAATCAAAATTTATATTTTTACTTACTTAACAGTGTCTATTGGGGTTCCCACTACACGTGGATCTAATATTCATTCTCTCAATTAACCGACCGTTCTCATACTTCGTTCGGTAATGGGCGCTAAATATACCACTGCCTTAATATCATGTCCTGTAATGAGAGTGAACAAGTATTTTTCAACCCCTTTCGGTATAAGACTTCTCAACCCCGTTCGACAATGGTAATGTCCATGGTAGGGTTTACCCTATGTACCAGATTTGTACACCATTTCCCATGATACCAGGTAAGCCTTCCACATACATATCATCATCATCAATCAGTCATCCATTACATACAACAATCTTATTTCATAATTACAGTACAATAGAATAATAATTAAGTAGGTGATACAATTTGATACTTTAATAACTAAGAAAAGCGTAGTTAGGACATTTATTTCAAACCAATCAATAGATAGAGATAAAACGGTTAAGTAAATCAATAAATGAGAAGACCATTAAACCTATGAATTAAAGTGCATGCGGTAAGCAAACAATAATAGCCTAACAATAAATGAACAATACAGATAAAATAAGCAATTATATACTGACCAATTATCGGTTCTACTGGTGATCTGTATTTAATTAATTAGGGGTTCCCAATATTCATGAATTACACCGTGTATTATTTATTAAACTTCAATTAACTGTAACAAAAAAAATGATGAGGGATTCTTACCCATAGTTGGTATTTGAAACACCTCTGTTTTCACTGCACTTCTTGGCAGTTCCCAAAATTTTTGAATTTTTTCTGTGAAAACAAAAAACATGCATCACATATCTCGAAATATCCAAAAAAGGCCAAAAAATTTCTGGACCGGTTTAGGGTTTCGGCATGACGGTGTTGCTGTGCTTCGACCGGCTCCGCTGCCTACGACGGTGATTCATCTCGGCCTGGCTGGTTTTGGTCGGTCTTGTATGAAAACCTGCTAAACTCGAGGTTAGGTGACCTTTGTTGGCAGAAAAAAAAGGAGAAAATCGAAACTTACCGGCGGGTGGGTTTTCTAGTGCAGTGGCTTCGCTGTTCCTCTCTCGCGACTAGGGATTTTCTTCGATTGTCCTGCACCAGAAAAGAGTCAGGAATCTATTTTTAGAAAAAAGAAGGAAACAGGAAGGGGATACGGGCTCACCGGAGGGGTTTTGGGTCACAGGTGTGGCAGCTCGCCCGAGCTCCACCATCGATTTTCTACTTCTCTTTTTAGTTTTTTTGGTGCCGATATGGGTTTGTGGAGACTTAGAATTGAACTGTGAATCGAAAGGGGAGAAAAAACTCACATTTCGGCGTCGGCAAGGGTTCTGGTATAGCAATGACAACAACCAACTTTTTTTTTTTTTTTCTGCCCTTCTTCTTCTTCTCTGACGGGGTGGTTGTGGCTAAAGTTAGGATTTATGTGGAAGAGGAGTTTAAATACTCCTATTCATTCAATCTGGACCGTCCGTCCGAGAAGACTAGCTCATTCCCAGCTGTTGAATCAATCCTATATGAAGAACGAATCTGGACTGTATGATCGGATGCAATCAGGACCGTTCGATCGCGTCTGAAGAAAAAACGAATCGAGGTCGTTCATGTGCATGGGAGTGAACTTGGGCCGTCGGATCGATTAACACGCGGATCGCCCGCGTGGCTTCCTGCATGGATGCGTATCCGCATGTCGGCCATGCGGCGCACAGTTATTGGTCGCGCTGCTGACATGGCGGTCCTACGTGCCCTAATTTTCGTTATTTGTACTTTTGGCCCCAATTTTATAAATTTATTTTCAAATAGATATTTTCTTATCTTCATTTTAACGCTGGTTTTTGAAAATTATTTTCAATTACACCTAAAATGTATATTTATTCAAAATTATTAATAAAAATTAAATTTTAAAATATCTAAATTTATTTTTAATAAAATTTCGATTATCCCGAATCTAATTTTACTTTCTTTAACCTATCAAGTGATAACAAAAAATTAACTCACATTTCTTATATCCTACAGAATAATTTGGACTTATTTTTAAGTTCAGATCAATCTAAACGCAATTAGCCATACAAGTGTAATTAAAGTGGTTCTTCGAACACCAGCTTTCCTATTTATTATGATCAATATTTACTAAATTAATTATGAATTATTATTTTTTATTTTGTACCTTTAAAATTGTGAAATAATTAATTGCAATAAACCATCTAAAAAATTAAAGATAATATAAAGGAATCAGTATCTTATTTATATTATAATATATAATATAAAATATTCTTCATATATAAATATAAAAGATATGAATAAATTAATTTTAAAAAAATTAAATTGATAAGAACTCGCAAAATTTATTATTCATGTCATAATGCAAATAATCCATCATTTACATGGATAAAATTGCCTTCATTTTTTTAATGATCATAGATGGTAAACTGACAGTAAAAAGAAAAAGTTTATGTTCGATTATTATTATTATTATTATTATTATTATATCTTTCAACATAAATAAAGTTGCTTTTATAATTTTCTAACTATTAATAACAAATTAATGATTACTACAATGCCTTCAACATAAATAAAGTTAAATTCATCATTTTTAACATACATAATTACTATTAGCCATACATTAATTGTGAAAAATTAGTGCTTCATTTATAATAATTAAAATGCCGCGTCATATTTTAATTAATTATTATGACAAGCAAAAGTGATATTAAAAATTAATAGCTGA